CCACACACAAATCATCACTATTTTTGTACGAACAATAATGGTTTAGCCTGTTATTTACAAATAATGAAACAAACACCCACAAAATTATCACTTTTTATTAGTTTTTTAGCCGTCAAAACACAGATCATCGCGTATTTTGTTACAAAAAAGTGCTTTAACGTAATTTCAAACAATTAGTCGGCTTTTTAACAAAACGTGGTTGAAAAAGTAAAATACTATCGAAATGGTATTCAAAAAGGAAAAAAAAATCATATTGAGGGATAAGTTGTGAATTAATACTCATATTATACACGATCATATGTACATATGTAGGATACTGGGATCGCACTCAGTAGGTCAAATATATACACTAATATTGCTTTTGGGTCGAGCTAAACTAAAACAGCCTCCGTCGGATGAGTCAATAAAACAATCCTCACAAAGCACGCAATGCACTTAGCTTACAGGATTGACAATAACATATGGATAGGCAAACATACATTTGTTAGAGACAAAACATGTAAACATAAAGTACAATAACGCTATAGTATGTATACAGACAGTGTAATATTAACATAAAACGTATAATCATGTTACAATTCTATTTTGTTTTAAATAGCTAAGATAGAGCTACTGTTAAATATCACCGTTATGCAGACCTATTTCCTGAATGAGGAACCGGTACGCACGGTACGTTTTACCCGCTGTGGTAGGCAGACCATAGCTAACTCATTGGTTTGATTTGGTTAGGAATACATTGTGTCATACATAATGCTATTACAATAGTGATCGTTATAAATAAAGCAATGAATGCATACAATATGATCACAAAACGAATGCGCACATAATAATAAATAATATATAATAAATTATTTATTCAAGTGTCACATATTGATCTACATATTAGAGACTCCAAAAAGGCAATAATATACATTAAAATATATAGGAGCCACCACATTTAAAGAGACCAATTATAAAGATATATATATTTGTTAGCTAATTATAAGGTATGTCATTACCTATTCCTGTACTACCAACTTTAGCTAGGAAACGGTTAACCGCTTTTGTACTTTATCAGATGATATATCCTTATGTACTTGTAAAATGTCACATATATTATGCTTATTACTTATTAAGTATTACTGCATGTATAGTTTTCTACGCTTAAACGCGTTAAAAATAAATTAACCGTTATTTGGCTGGAGTACACCATTTTTCATTATGTTACATTGTAAGGGACTGTGTGTCACTGTCCTGCATTAAGAACCCCTCTATAACATCACTTGATTTCGCACATTATATCTTAAATCACTGTACAGTTTGCACTCAATTAAGAAATGTTTTTCGTCTTCGATTTTCCTCATGTCACAATGGATACACAGTCTATCATGAAGTTGAATGGGCACCCTGGTATATCTTCCAGTCTCCACCGCTAGCGGAAGACAACCGGCGCGAAACTGGGCCAGGTATCGCCTGTTGGTTCGTGGACTGTCCGATTTCATATAGGTATCTGTGCCTATATACTTTTGTTATTGCCTATATGTTCTGAGTTTATTTCCGTTCACGTTATTATTGTCATTCCATAAAACTCTTTGTTACATATGTAAGCGAACAACGTATTTGTAGATTTACTGTGAATAATGAATAAAAACAATCTGTTTACATGTTTTGATCAGTTAATGAGTATAGTAGGTAATACACGGACTTGCTTTTGATAATAACATTAACTTGTTTATGTGCGAATCATGATCGATTAAACGATGTTCTCCTCGGTCTTTAGTGCAACAGTACAATGTAAGTGCATGTGCAAAGTCGACTATAATCGAAACTCAATAATCCGGCCAACACTTATCCGGTGTCCTACTATCAAGTCTTGTTAATCCAGTCACTACTTATCTGGTTGTCTCACTATCTAATCGTGATAATATAGCCGCCACTAATCCCGCTGTCCCTCTATCCAGTCTTGTTAATGTAGCAGCCACTAATCAAGTTGTCCCTCTATCCAGTCTTGTTTATCTAGCTTCCACTAATCTCGCTGTCCATGTATCCAGTCCCGTTAATCTAGCTGCCACTAATCTCGCTGTCCCTTTATCCAGTCTTGTTAATCTAGCTGCCACTTATCCCGTTGTCCCTCTATCCAGTCTGTTAATTTAGCAGCCACTAATCCCGTTGTCCCTCTATCCAGTCTGTTAATATAGCTGCCACTAATCCCGCTGTCCATGTATCCAGTCCCGTTAATCTAGCTGCCACTAATCTCGCTGTCCCTGTATTCAGTCTTGTTACTCTAGCTTCAACTAATCCCGCTGTCCATGTATCCAGTCCCGTTAATCTAGCTGCCACTAATCCCGCTGTCCCTCTATCCAGTCTTGTTAATGTAGCAGCCACTAATCAAGTTGTCCCTCTATCCAGTCTTGTTTATCTAGCAGCCACTAATCCCGCTGTCCCTCTGTCCAGTCTTGTTAATCTAATTGCCACTAATTAAGTTGTCCCTCTGTCCAGTCTTGTTAATCTAGTTGCCACTAACTTCGCTGTCCCTGTATCCAGTCTTGTTAATCTAGCTTCCACTAATCCCGCTGTCCATGTATCCAGTCCCGTTAATCTAGCTGCCACTAATCCCGTTGTCCCTCTATCCAGTCTGTTAATCTAGCTGCCACTAATCCCGTTGTCCCTCTATCCAGTCTTGTTAATCTAGCAGCCACTAATCCAGTTGTCCTTTTATCAAGACTTCTTAATCTAGCCGCCACTATTCCAGTTTTTCCTCTATCCAAACTTGTTCATCTAGCAGCCACTAATCCAGATGTTCTTCTATCCAGACCTCTTAATATAGCCACCACTAATCCCGTTGTTTCGCTACTCAAACTTGTTAATCTAGTCGCCACTAATCCAGTTGTTCTTCTACCCAGACCTATTAATATAGCTGCCACTAATTCAGTTGTCCCTCTACCCAGTCTTGTTAATCTTGTCGCCACTAAAACGTCTTGTTTTGTAATGACGTTGTGGTATATTTTCTCCTTAATTAGTGACGTTGTGGTTCAGGTAAAAAACTCAAATTTCTGGACTTAGAAAAAAACTCAACGTTAAGGTTTTGCGTTTAGCTCTTACATATTAGGCTGTTTCTGACAAAATATAAATGCTAGAGCAACCAAACTTGGGTCATAGGTGTATCATGCGGGTGTATAGCTGAATGCATTACACTCTTTACTAGCATTTCAACGATTTCTGTATTTTTTTGCTAAGAACCTCAAATTTCTGGAGTTGGAAAAAAACCCTCAACGTTAAGGTTTTGCGTTAAGCTCTTGCATATTAGGCTCTTTTGACAAAGTTTAAGAGCTAGACCAACCAAACATCAATCATACATGTAGCATGGGTAGTAGAGCCTACTACTTTAAAAACATTTCATGGATTTCTGCACTTTTTCAGATAAAAACCTGAAATTTCTGGCCTTTAAAATAAATCAATGTTATAATTTTGCGTTTAGGTCCGTTTCCTTATGTACTATGTCAAATGCTTATTATATTGACAAAGCGGGACAGGCGACACATATAATTACGCGTGATTCTTGTTTACCTTGTCAAAAGGCGTTGCTTTGATTTAATCTTACAGAACAAAGTAAGAAAACCAGAAGCTTCTCTCCCCACCCCTACCCCCAACCCCAGCGGCGCTCCCAAAAAAGATATAACTAGCTACCACTAGCCCTCCACCACTGGGTCGCTGGTTCGATGCCTGCATTGGGCAGTAGCCAGGTACTTGCGGTAGGGCGGTGTTTTTTCTCGGGAAACTCCGGCCCTTCTTCACCACCAAAACCTGGCACGTCCTTAAATGACCATAGCTGTTAATAGGACGTAAAACACAAACAAACCAAAAGCCGAACTATAATCAAATGAATATCTGTGTGGCATATTAAAATACTTCAGTTAGTATATCCTCTTATGGAGATATGTTCGCCTAAACAATGTTATAATCCAACAATTTCCCTTTATAGCTACATAAAACTAGTTTGCGGAAGCGAGACGTAAATATGGATGTTCTGCACATAAAATCCAATGTTATTGCCTTATAACTGTTTGTAAATTGCTTTTTTTAAATATAAAATTCACAAATCAAAGTATTGGACAGGAAATAGTCAGTTTAATTTGCTGTCTACGACGAGATTGGCAGATGCGATAATGGAGCGATAATTCGGTCGAATTATATCGCTTACATTTTTGATATAAAATAATATGTAAACATGTGTGGCTGTTGTGTACATATATGTTTTCTTGTATGAAAAACATTCTTCCTACCTTATACATAACAGGATAATTAAATTACGTGATTGTACCATAAACAGCAGTACTTTAAGCATAACAAATTTATATATTTACATATAGAGAAAGGCTAAGTAATGTCAAACAAAAATCTGAACAGCGTCAACAAAGATTGAACAACAAGCGTAGACAACGAACAGGCTGTCTTAAGGCGGACCTGATAACTGTTTACGGCTGGTGGTTTGTTTCACGGACCCCGTTCTTCAGTTGCATGATATGAGTCAAAATGGGCCCGAGACAAAGTACTTAAACCGACTGAACTTTTTGGGGATCGTTCGTATAAAATAGCATAGTGACATCATTAGTTTGGCGGATGTGAAAACATCCTTCTTTTCGACAATGTAGTTTAAGCAAATATTTCGTCTCTATGTCAAAATTTTATATAACACAAATAATTATTCACGTGTATATATAAATGATTTGAATTGTCTTTAGAATATCAACTGTGCGATCACGAAAAGAACATCTTTAATTCTTTCAGACATGATGGTTTAATCATTAATGCCCATTTTTGTGATATAATATGTTTGAAGTGTTTTAACGCGATACTGTTTAGAACCCCACTGTTGATGAATATTTCCGCGTATTAGTACGATTTATCTACATATAAGGGCCTATGAGTGTATAATAAGTGAGCACCCCTAAAGTGCCTCTTCCGCTAGGCCAGATGATGGGGCTGTTCAGCCTCTGACGGATGTCTATATAAAAGAAAATGTTCATGGTGAAAATAAACAGTATATATTTCTAGCATCAGGTACGCAGTACACACATTGTAAGGCACTAGTTGTACTTAGGACCCCACTGTTACGTGGACGTACAAGGACTGGTCATTATGAGGGTTATCTACCGGACAGCACTACTCACGGTAATTATAATGTTATAGCACGCTCGCTATACTGGTTGTAACCTCTATCACAGTCTTCATTTATTTATTTGTTTGATTTAAAACTCAAACGCTTCACATTTCAAATTTAATACCGGTTTTTTTTTAAATTCTATAAAAACATTCGATGCTCCTCGTTCATTACGTGTAAACTGATGCGTAAGATTGTGGTTTTAGACAAGAAAAAGAAGTTTGGTAAGCATGGAGAGTTCGACCATTCACAAATTAATGTACACATATTTAAAAAAACAACATTTTCGATGAAGACAATAAAACTTTATTAGTATATTTTAACCTTTCATTGTTGAAAACGACGTGGGAGTGTCGTAATGATATCGTAAAAGATAACAAGAATGGAGATAATTTCCCTACTCTATAGGTCAGATGTAACAAAGACCAGAAACTCGATAAAAGAGATATCTTAGCATCTGTTATGATCTACGATAATATCACTACATTCACGATATCATCTAACTCCTCAGTTTAAAATGGGATTTGCCGTATCAGTTAACAATACCGATTTCAGAATGTTTATACATACATCGATACGACAATGAAAGTAACTTATATATAGTCTGTATCGAAACAAGATGTAACGTTAGTGAGATCATTGACACAGAGTCTTTAGTGTAACGCTACTTAGGAAGAAATGTGTTTCCAATAGAACTGATACAACGATCCATTTCGTCTGGGATATTTTATAACAATACCTCCAGGCATTATACTCTACCATACGTTATACTTCATCACAACGTCTGGCTAGCATACATTCCTTCGTATGGAATACTTTGTTACTAATCCACTATGTCTCTCTCAATCATCTGTGATACTTCATTATAAAGCCATTATATCTTTCTCTATATTCTGTGATACTTCATTAAAAGCCACTATAAATTATCTTTCTCAATCATCTGCGATCCTGAATACAAAGCCGTTGTATTTTTCTCTATCGTCTGCGAACATTTATTATAGAGCCACTATAGTTTTCTCTGTATTCTGCATTTTTCTATAACAATGCTATTTTATACCCAATCGTCTGTCATATTTCATAACAGAGTCTGACTTAATTATATTATATCGTCTGAGGTATTTTATTACAAATTTACTATATACCCAGTCTACTGTGATATTTTATAACAGAGTCTGACTTAGTTATATTCAATCGTCTGAGATATTTTATCACAAAGTCAGACTTCTGTATACTATATCGCCCTTCAGTCGACACGTTATCTACCTAATGAGCATGTTAAGTAATGAAATAAGATTTAAATGTCACAGAGGTCAAATTGCACGTGCTCAGTGACAAAAAAACGCATTCACGCACGTGGCTCCTTGATAATATATAACAGATTAAATATTAATTTTACTTTATTTTTCTAAAGGGTTCTTATCTTTTAGTGTGAAATGTCTCTGTGAAGTTTTTGCTAAACATTTTGGTAGGAATGCCGTCTATAGCTACCAACTGTCCATATCCTACCATTGTTTTCAGTACTGGTTTTACTAATTGACCTGGTAAATCTGTTCGGTATTAGGTCTTTCAGTTTTGATTGAGTTTGTAATGATACTATATCATTTTATGCCTGGCATTTCACATATCATAATACATTGACATTTGAAATGGTCAGAAAAACACGATTTCTCTTAATGTCATGATCCGGTTAATGTCACGTTTTCATCTGACAAATGAGAAGTGATATTAAGCGAAATCTATTGTTTTAGTAAATGTTCACCCATTTATTTTCTTTAAAGTAAAATTGTTGTTTCGTTAACTGTTGACTATATTAGTATATTACATATACAGTATATATACATATACAAACAGATTTAGCGCTCTCACTCATAGTAGCCTTGTTCTACTTCCGCTTTGTCATCAAGCTTGCGTATTTCAGTGACATGGCTACTTTAACTTAAGCGTCTAGGACCCTGTTTTGAATATGACTAAACTTAACATCATGTTAGGTATTAAACAGTCGTTGTAGTAAACTATGTATTACCTTTTTTATGTTTGACAGTGAGCGCAAGGTTTTTTCTATCTATCATGTAGGTACTTATTGAAGTTTGCACTCTGCCGTAGAGGGAGAGGAAATATAATTGTATGTTGTATGTTAGAATATTTTGATCATGGAGATAATAAGATGTAATATTCTAGAATACACTTATCACAGCCTGTCGCAGTTATGTATGCTATCTTTACATTGTTTACGGTCCTACAAACAAAGCAGCAACACTCACAACAATACTTTAAGACACGTCCGCCATCCTCTTAGAGCGGTTGCCAAAGAATGCCACAAAGCCACGAGGATGAACCAAGCGTGTCGGCAGCCCCAAATAAACTAGCTGACGTTTCCTTTTATTTCACATTTTGTGGTAGTTACTCCTATGATTTGAATATAACAACTTCGTTATGCTTGAATAGTAATACCAGTTTTGTGTTTGGAATAATAACATGGCTCTGTTGGAATACAAAACACCAAATGTCACCATTTTGATGGCAATATTTGGATAGGAGTTTAGAGGCATAGAATTTATTTTGCAGATTTCTTGATGTCGGCCTCTTTTGAAATGATGCATATCACAATTAAATAACATTACATAACATTGAATAGTTCGTTTATTTATCAATTTATATGTGTATAGTTTACTATCGATATTAGGCTCATGGTTTCATTTACCGCCATTGCAGTTCAAGCTATGTTTTTCCTTATGCTCTTTATGATTCTTGGATTTCTTGCTGTAATGTCAAACTTCATCATTACGCCAAAATGTCGCTTGTCACTAATAGAAGCATACTGCAGCTTTACTACATCACGTGTAGAATCATGTCAGTATGTCAGGCCCACACTCCCATTACGATGATATATAATTGAAAACAATCTTATTCGACACTTTGTATAAATATCTGGGACTGCACTCAAGTATTTATACGTAAAACCAAACTGCCTATTTCCTAATCAAGTCACGGAGGTGCCAAGGTTAACAACTAAAAGTACAATCTGGTACACCGACAACTATTTTCTTTCGTGTAAGAGTTGTTTGAGTTAGGCTGTTATAAAAATCTTAGATAGCTGATAATGCACGATTTATCTAGCATATGACCATGTACACTGACATTGAACAAATTCAGGTTAATTATGTTTGGTCGAGGATGGCCCAGTCACATCGACGCTATGATGCTACTATAGGTATGTCTTCGTTTGGGTTTTTTACGGTATGACTCAGTTTCAATTTAAACTTCGTTAAAATGTGATTAGATGTTATACTGTCTGTGCCTGTTCGAAGACACGGGTCATACAATGTAATTTAAATGAGATTAGGAATAAAAATAACTTTATACCGATATATATACACTCAGTGAAAAGTGTATGTGGGTTTCCATGAAAAAGTCCTTCTTTGATCTCGAGTGGCGTATTTTGACCCATAATATGGTATTTATTTCACTCTCGTTAGTTAATTTTCAAAAGTTACAGAAAGACACTCGCTAAAGTTCGTGTCTTTTGTAACTTCTGAAAATTAACTAACTCAAATGAAAAATATACCATATTCAACAACCACTGTTTGTGTAACCTCTATATCGCCAATATCCTTTAATTGTAAATGGTGTTTTACATGGTTAAACAAAATTCGGTACAATTACAAGATGATTTTACTGAACATGAACAACCACTATTTTGATCTGTAAGGAATGTGGTTAAACCCTACAGGAAATGAGTCAACTCTTTCATCCTTTACAGGTGTGGTACGCGATGGTCTGTGTATACGGACAGAGGGACCGGAAACCAGCCACAGACCTGACCATCGACCAGATTATATTAAAAACTATGGGTGATAATCAAAGTAAGTATGACGTCATCACCGACACCAACTACAGAACTGTTGTGTTTTGCGAACTATAAAGAATAGTACTAATAGCGATATGTTTTATGCATTTTGCACAATAAGCAACTCGTCAGAAACACACTATAACACATGCTAGTCTGAACCCGTCTATTTCATTCACGTTCACTTAATGCTCTTGGCACGTGTTTTCTGGAAAAATAAAAAGATTGGTAAGATATATCATAACTATCCCATTAACAAGGGTACTGCCAAGATCCAGGTACTGCTAGAAGCGCAGGGCCATGTGATCAGTCTGGTTTCCGATGGGGTGTTAATTAACCTATATTATAGTAGTCCTACAGAGTATGAAACCAAACCCGGAAAAGTCACAATACACAACACCTAGACAGGCTACACGTACAGTATAGACAACACCTAGACATGCTACATGTACAGTATAGACAACATCTTGACAAGGCTACACGTACAGTATAGACAACATCTTGACAAGGCTACACGTACAGTATAGACAACATCTTGACAATGCTGAATTAAAGAATTTATATATACATAATAACACAAGTTCAACGATAATTAATATCCTCGCCAAAAGAACCGGAAGGTTGATAAACAATTGTTCACGAACTATACTTATTATGTTGATCGGTATAGGCCATTGAGTTCACATTCAAATCGGTTATGACGATAACATAAAATACATTTTTTCTTGCATCATTACTATTGAGTGCAGTCCGACACACAAACAGTTAGGCGCGATGGGTTGTTTACGTCTGTACATCAAAAACAAACACTCCTATATTGACGTTTACTATGGTTTTTAAACTCTTTGAAATAAAGCATCGAAAAAGCTTGTATCACATGAAACATAGCTAAGGGAATTCAATGAGATCTGTGTGCTAACAATAAGAACCAGGACCCGATTGAATAAGCCTAGTTAGCTTTACCTTTCCGTAGTTTAGAATTTCAAACTTATAATTGTCGAACCAATTTTTAAGTAATACAAGTATTCGTATTTCTTGTTTTTCGTTGACCATACTGTATCGCTTTACCTACAGCGATAGTAAGGATATGTTATAGTTCAGAAAATAAATTGGTCGGAAAGGTTGCTTTGACTGAAAGTCGTTAAGTAGACCTGGTCCAAGAAAAACATGGAGGCCAGATGTTTTCTACTGACACATATCCCCAAATGAAATCCACATCTCTGAAACAAATATCGCTGGTTCCTTTTGAACAAATAACAACCTATAAGTATCAAATTATCAATGTGCTCAGATGAAACAATAGGTGCTGCTACACACAGTTTATAGAGCGTGATAAGTGTGCCCGTGCGCTATGCACTACATATGCACGTGAGCTACCTTTACGCCACGTGGACTATCGCCGATAAGTTAGTCATATTCCTGCTTGGCAGGAGAGGGTACGTAAAAATTAGAGAGGAGAGCTCGCGTTTGTGCCAATGTATTTTTTTGTATTGTGATATGTTAACACGTTCGTCACACAGTATTTCCAATGTACTATCAAAGATCTAGTTCAGTGTACATTGTAGGTTACACTAATACATAACAATGGATATTAATAGTACTCAGGTAACAGTATACGTGGACAATACAGTTAAAAAATACGCTTCCAATCAAACCCAATTGGAAATATCATTCCCGTTTCACAGGGTATAATGGTGTATTTATTTGCCTACACACAGGCACGTATACTTAAATGACCTTAGCTGTTGATAGGACGTGAAACCCTATACAACCTACCAACCAGCCTATTTGACAAGGCTTATTTCTTAATATTGTCACACATCATGTATTGTGTGTTCGCATTGGCGTTTCTGAGTGAGCAGTAATAATGTAATGTTATACTTATTATTAATATTTCTTTAGTCAAATTATATCATATCGGTACGTAAACGATCAACATGATATATTCTTGTTGCTATTGATGATGTTACTGTCGTTTTGTTGCATGTTAATTTCTAATTTAAATAGTAACACTAGGATGGGACCTGGACTAATTATAGCATTCATTCATTTACACACTTATTAACATATCAGAGTTAACTTAGGGTGGTGAGGATGATATGGTATTTTGTGCATATGTATTAACACTGTGGTACATTTTGTACCTGTGGTTTGAGGCTGTGGTATATTTCATACCTGTGTATTGACGCTGTAGTACATTTTGTACCTGTGTATTGATGCTGTGGTGTATTTTATACCTGTGTATTGACGCTGTGGTACATTTTGTACCTTTGTATTGACGCTGTGGTACATTTTGTACTTGTGTATTGACGCTTTGGTATATTTTGTACTTGTGTATTGACGCTTTGGTATATTTTGTACGTGTGTTTTGACACTGTGGTACATTTTGTACTTGTGTATTGACGCTTTGGTATATTTTGTACGTGTGTTTTGACGCTGTGGTACATTTTGTACCTGTGTATTGACGCTTTGGTATATTTTGTACGTGTGTTTTGACGCTGTGGTACATTTTGTACCTGTGTATTGACGCTTTGGTATATTTTGTACGTGTGTTTTGACGCTGTGGTACATTTTGTACCTGTGTATTGACGCTTTGGTATATTTTGTACGTGTGTTTTGACGCTGTGGTACATTTTGTACCTGTGTATTGACGCTTTGGTATATTTTGTACGTGTGTTTTGACGCTGTGGTACATTTTGTACCTGTGTATTGACGCTTTGGTATATTTTGTACGTGTGTTTTGACGCTGTGGTACATTTTGTACCTGTGTATTGACGCTTTGGTATATTTTGTACGTGTGTTTTGACGCTGTGGTACATTTTGTACCTGTGTATTGACGCTTTGGTATATTTTGTACCTGTGTATTGACGCTGTGGTATATTTTGTACCTGTGTATTAACACTTTCGTATATTTTATACCTGTGTATTGACGCTGTGGTACATGTTGTACCTGTGTATTGACACTGCAGTATATTTTGTACCTGTGTATTGACGCTGTGGTACATTTTGTACCTGTATATTGACGCTTTGGTACATTTTGTACTTGTGTATTGACGCTTTAGTATACTTTGTACTTGTGTATTGACGCTGTTGTATATTTTGTGCTTGTGTATTGACATTGTGGTATATTTTATACCTGTGTATTGACACTGCTGTATATTTTGTACCTGTGTATTGACGCTTTGGTATACTTTGTACTTGTGTATTGACGCTGTTGTCTATTTTGTGCTTGTGTATTGACACTGTGGTATATTTTATACCTGTGTATTGGCACTGCTGTATATTTTGTACCTGTGTATTGACGCTTTGGTATATTTTGTACTTGTGTGTTGACGCTGTTGTATATTTTGTGCTTGTGTATTGACATTGTGGTATATTTTATACCTGTGTATTGACACTGCTGTATATTTTGTACCTTTGTATTGACGCTGTTGTATATTTTGTACCTGTGTATTGACACTGTGGTATATTTTATACCTGTGTATTGACACTGCTGTATATTTTGTACCTTTGTATTGACGCTGTTGTATATTTTGTACCTGTGTATTGACACTGGTATATTTTATACCTGTGTATTGACACTGCTGTATATTTTGTACCTGTGTATTGACGCTGTTGTATATTTTGTACCTGTGTATTGACACTGTGGTATATTTTATACCTGTGTATTGACACTGCTGTATATTTTGTACCTGTGTATTGACGCTGTTGTATATTTTGTACCTGTGTATTGACACTGTGGTATATTTTATACCTGTGTATTGACACTGCTGTATATTTTGTACCTGTGTATTGACGCTGTTGTATATTCTGTACCTGTGTATTGACACTGTGGTATATTTTATACCTGTGTATTGACACTGCTGTATATTTTGTACCTGTGTATTGACGCTGTTGTATATTCTGCACTGTGTGATGATGCTTTGGTATACCTTATTCATGTGTGTTGACGTTAAGGTACATTTAGTCCCCGTGTATTGTCGCTATAATATACAGCATTGATGATGTTGTGATATATTGTGACACTGTGTTGACAAAGATTATGAATAAGTTGTAAGAAATAGGAACATGATTTTGATAAAAAGGCTTGAGTATCATTTTCCGAAATTACTTAATCCCACTCGAATCGTCAGGGTTTTGGCAAACTTTCTTGGCATGGATTTTAACTACACTGATTAACATTTTTTAACCCAGTGGCAGCCAATTTAGTCCAGATACCCGGTGGCAAAAAACTCGCTGAACTGGACATGATGCTGACCCCAGAACAGTTTGCTGCGTTTTATCCAGACACCACAAAGAAAAGGTAAACATGTAGCTTCCTATTTTGTTGTTTTGTTTTTCTTCTTTTTTTTTGTTCAAGCATCAATCCCTTTGTAACTATACCGGTTCTTAGGATCCGGGGTCTAAAGCCTAGCCAGTTATATGTATGATTTCCTCAATAAGAAGACAACAGTTCATTGATTCATTCATTCCAACATTATATTCAAGCATGCTGATGTGTCCATCTACCCCCTTCTGCACAATCAGGGATGATTGCTTTAATGTTCTTTGTTTAATGACGGATAAAACGACAAGTTAATGACTCTACAAAGTCTTGAATGTTGTCTAATACTGATAACGTGATCGGAGCAGGACAATAACATACTAACGTAGTTTGTATCCCTGATACCTTCAGTACATTAACAATATGTGCAAAGTTAAACGTTGAGGAATATGCATATATCATAATCCTGAGATATTTTATTGGAATTTATTGTCAATATAACTGACTATTTCATGTAATGTTTACGTTACGTTATCACGACATTTACCTCCTTAAAAATCAGTTTAGTTATGAGCACGTCAGTTGTTTAAATACACAACATATATGTGCAATGGAAATAGTTAAGATGGCCATGTGACACAGGGTTTGTGGCTCACTTTTCCTTCACTAAGCACCATAGTCCAGCATACGTACTGCAATACTCATATAATCACTAAGCATCATAGCCCAGCATACGTACTGCAATACTCATATAATCACCTAGCACCATAGCCCAGCATCTTACTGCAATACTCATATAATCATTAAGCACAATTGTCCAGCATCTTACTGCAATACTCATATAATCACTAAGCATCATCAGTTTTCTTTGTTAATGACAGAAAAGGTATACATAAATGTTATATGTATGTGCGGTAGATCCTCCATTCAAAATAATAATTAAGCAACAAAATAATGATAAACGTAGGCAAGTCTTTACGCTCCAATTTGACACTTCCGTCACGTTTGATTGTACATGTTATTGGAAACTTATTAGGACTAGTCATCAACATGTTGCCAACGTTTTCAGTTTATCCCTTCAGAAAAAAACAGCTACGGGATGACAAGAAATGTATTAACCATATCAGTCGATCATACACTCGAGAAGTTGAAATCAATGAGGCTACATCTTCTTCTACTCCAGTCGCATTCTTCGATGTTAAGGTTTTTCCCTGTGTGATATGAGGACTGCTAATGTTGATCATTCTCGTTATTGTGCCTTGTTGTTTCATTGCCTCTATCCCATTTCTAACTTTGAGGACATTATATTATTTATATTTTACCTAGATTTACATGACGGGTGTCGTCGTATGTAATTTGAAAGGCTTCTTTGTAAATCATTCCTAGTGTCATATTTTGTCGTAGTTTTATCAATTCTGAGTACGAGTAACGGAAAGTGAGCTCTGTTTTTTTGTTTGTTTTGTAAACAAACACAATTCAATATACAGTTAGTTAAATTATGTTTTGGTGATAGGAAGAAGAGAAAAGCTGTGAGGAACACGGTCTTCCGTTGGCCCAATGCTGTGATGAAGTATGCATTCAGAGATGGAGTGTTCAGTAAGTAGCATAGATTTCATCATTTTCTGTCCAATCATAATCTCCATCGTCAACACAGTTTAATTTCACTGCTTTCTCCGTCAGTGTACCGTTTTGTACCATTTTATATTATTATTCGATGTACTGTCGCGGAACTTAACAAGCATTAACTTGAAGTAGTTAGAAATGATTTCGATACATTACATGTACATACAGAATATATAAAATAATCATAATAACTTTATTAAAGTTCGAAAGCCATGTACCTGCAAATGACCTGGTACAGTTGTAAGTGGTTTATGAATTAGCAGTGTTTGAGAGACTTTCTGATAAAGGAAGCATTTCGATACTTCAATGTGGGCCTAATGAACAAATAAGTGAGATTATACAATGTATGCTTGTTTTTGTTTGAATCCATTGCGTGTGTACGTTGTAGCTTAATTACCTGCCCTGTTGTATATTTGCCTTGTAGAGGGGGGTGGGTGGGGGTGGGGGGTCTAATCAGTCACCTGAAGTTTACTGATATTTGTACAACATGACGAGTTTCCATTATATCACATCGCTTACTCAATACAATGTATTTTAGGTAATTTAGACAAATACATGATCAAGGTGTCGATGAGGGAATGGGAGAAGTACACGTGTGTCCGCTTCGAGGAGAGGGAGCCATCCGATACTGACTACGTTTTATTTAACGACGGCTTTGGGTAAGTTGTCATTCCTTCTTTTGAATTTAATTTCATATATGAACGTCATACATACTAATGCGAGTATATCAAGATTTAAGATTTTGATGATATAAAACAAACAAAAAAACAAAAAAAAAACAAAAACAGGCAATCACAAACATATATATATATAGAATTTCCGATGGAAACCCTAGAAGGGTCATCGGGGCCAAAAGGCCTATTGACTTTGTGATGAGTAGTTAATACTGTTTATGATACATATGATTCACAAACAACAGAAAAGGGTCGAACGGGATATATAGCGATTGGAATACCTGTAATAAACAAAGAAACCCGTTCTTAACTGCCTACAATGACAGAAACTGTAGACGTACACCATCAAACGATCAGTTCATGCTGAAAGAATTTTAAAGGTAGAGAGAATCTGAAATTGCCAACAGCATGAAAATGAAGGATTTCAACAAACCTATATTCTACCGATTAATCTATCATCTTTATGAGCTCTTTGTTGATATATCATGTAAACACTTTGCTACAAACCATGAACATGTCGGTAATGTGTGATACTTTGTACGTAAACTTAAACATTTACATGTATTTAGAACCACTTTATGCAATCGTATGGAATTCATAAGGGGAGATAGCGCAATGTTTTAATAACTTCCGGTCGGACTCCATATCTGTAGAGTAGATAAGTAGAAGAGAGAGGTGTAATATTGGTATTACTTGTGCTTGATAATCTGAACGTTTATCTACAAAAGATGATGTTGAAATCACTTAACAAATATACGTCTTAAATACTTACTTTTCATTAAATGTAACATATTCCACCATTCCAGATGTAACTCACAGTTAGGAATGGTGAGGGGAGAACAGCTCCTCAATTTGGATGCCAACGGATGCAGATGGGTAAGCAATGTTTGCTTGATGTTGTTAATCCGCATCACACGTCACTGATATGGCAGAATGAGACGCACAAAACAGTAAGGTTAAGGTTCATCGCTAAATTTAATATTCTCAGCTTATAATGAACATTAGTATGGCCGATTTCAATTATATAAGGGAAATCAGTGTGTAGGCGATAAAAGGGTAAATAAACGTTAATTAAAACACCAACAACCAAAACTCAGCAGGGTAAACGTCACACTACAGTCACTGAATATTCAAATACCACGTGAACCCCTATGTCTCAACAGAAAGGATTGTACTTGCACGAGATAGGCCACGCCCTCGGCCTTATTCATGAGCACCAGCGACCAATCAGAGATGGATTCATCAGGATCCTTAGTCAGAACGTGGAACCTTCCATGCGGCGCTGGTTCGAAAAGTACCCGGCTGGCACTGTCAATCCCTACAACGTCTCATACGAATACTCCTCTGTCATGCACTACGGAATTACGGTAAGTGGCAAAACAAATTAACAATGAAATTCATATAAATTCATCCATAAAACTCCCTATCACTGAACGTACAGTTAGCCATGATTTAATGTATTTACATATAAATTATAACATAGTATGTTTCTGGATTCTCTTCACAAAACGTGATATGTCTGTCGGTCACTGTAGGCCTTCTCCAGCGACGGAAAAAAACAAACCATCCAGGCCACACAGTCGGACAGAGAAAGCGAGATTGGACGTGTATACCTAAAGGAACTGTCGTTTACCGATATAGAGGTCGTCAGCAACATGTATAACTGTAACGGTAAGTCGTGACGTCAGCAGCAAGTATAACTGTAATAGTGGGTTGTGCGTCAGCAACATGTGTAAATGTAACGGTAAGTTGTGACGTCAGCAACATGTTTTACTGTAACGGTAAGTTGTAACGTCAGCAACATGCATTACTGCAACGGTAAGTTGTGACGTCAGCAGCAAATATAACTTATAGTAGATTGTAACGTCAGCAACATGTATAACTAATAGTGGATTGTGACGTCAGCAACATGTGTAACTGTAACGGTAAGTTGTGACGTCAGCAATATGTATAACTGATGGAAATATGCAGCGTCAGCAGCAAGTATAACTGTTATAGTGAGTTGTAACGTCAGCAACATGTGTAACTGTAACGGTAAGTTGTGACATCAGCAGCAAGTATAACTAAAAGTAGATTGTGACGTCAGCAGTATGTATAACTAATAGTGGATTGTGACGTCAGCAACATGTGTAACTGTAACGGTAAGTTGTGACGTCAGCAATATGTATAACTGTAACGGTAAGTTGTGACGTCAGCAATATGTATAACTGTAACGTTAAGTTGTGACGTCAGCAGCAAGTTTAACTAATAGTGAGTTGAGACGTCAGCAACTTATTTTTTTTTACTTTTCACAGATCACTGTGACAAAGTGAGCAAGGTTTGCGTCAATGGCGGATTTCTGGACCAAAACTGTGAATGTCTCTGTCCAGATGGTACATACAATTGCGAGCAGGGCAACGTTCAGCCGGGAGACCCGAGTAAGTATACATGAACCAATTTCTTTTATCTTCAACTTTTACAATACGCACTTCTTTGAAGGGAACAAAATCTTCGTTGAATGACGATGTTTCTTCATTTCTAAAGGCAGTTTTCTGTCTGAGATCCATACTACAGAAATTTTCATCGTGCTCTGACGCGTTTTGGCTGCAGTATACTTTAACTGGATTGCTATTAATTTCAGCAATATCTGAAGTTTGTCCTTCTATTAGCGCAATATTTTGTAACACGATATACTATAGTATGATTAGTTAAACCACTCGTTTGTATCTTGGTCCTCCCATTACTACTATCAAAGGACAGGGTAGTCTCGTGACTTAGTGACCACACACTACTCTAACTGTGGTTTACTGCGTCAGTGGAACGCCCTGAGTGCGGTTCCCCTAGAACTAGCATTAATGGCTCTATGATTGTGACGCTCTCGCAACTAGCGCGCTGTTTGTTACATGATCTATTTCCGTTCTGAAAAGGATAGTTGTCAGGATCCTGTGAAATTCCCATTCCCATCACTGCCTACCTATGTTACATCACGTTTTGTTATGCATCATTCTTATTCAGACTCATTGACCGCGACATGATCTGATAGGGAAACTTTAATTTCTTAAATACATTTGTTGTCATCGCTGTTGCAGGTTGTGTCAACATTGCCAGCGACTGGCAGTGTAACATATGGGCTACACAGGCGGAGTGCTCCAACAACGCCCCTTTCATGAACGACAAATGTCGTAAAGCTTGTGGTGTCTGTGGAAGGCCGACATCTAGTGCAGGTACGTGTAACTAACAACTTAGGTTATGCATGTGTATTGGGTTTGAGATGGGTGAGGATTATTTAGAGAAGAATCGAAACAGCTTCACACTTCGACTTTTCATTTTATTCCCGGAAACAGGAAGTTAAACAACAAAACATAGAAACAAAATACGGAAACGGAATACCAAAATACACAAAACGGTCAATTGCGAATGTTCTATTGATGGTTATAATATAATATATGCCATTTATATAACACATGTACGTAGATAAATTCTATGCTGTATAATTATTAGTAAAAGATGCTCATATTTCATGTACTGCGACAGATTTAATTAAAACCTATCGAAATATTGATATTGTATTAAGTGGTTATCATAGTAAATCGCTTTGCACTAGTGCAAAAAAACACCGGTAAAATATGGTCACAGTTCGAACGATATCCACCATTCTCCATTATAATACAAACGCCTAGAGCCTTGGTCTATACAGAACGTGACCCATCGTTTGATGACCACAGGTAAGGACGTGCCCTGTATATACTGTCAAAGTGGCATTTCTAGCTTCAGCTAGAGGAAATTTCCCTTTAGTTCACCGGTAGAGCGACAAGTTAGAAAGTCTGGGATCGCGTGTTCGAGCCGCAACGAAGTCACATATTTTCTTTTCACAGTTTCATTCCTATGACAACCATTATTTCTCTATCTCTTTAGATGACAGGGGTGAGTGTGTCGATTTTTATGACGATGCAGCGTGCAGAAAATGGAAGGACAATGGCGACTGTATCGTCAATGAGGAATGGATGAGACGAAGCTGCAACTACACGTGTGGATTATGTGACCGAAACGCCAGCCCACCCGGAAGTACGTCACACCACTATGTCGGAACACTACTTCTACACCATATTGTCATGAAATAGTAGTTCCATTATACACCATAATGTCGTAATACACAAGTCTGGTTAAACACCCTATAGTCGTTATATACAGGTTATCTATCATATAGTCGTTATACACAGGTTATACACCATATAGTCGTTATACACAGGTTATACACCAAATTGTAGAAATACCCAGGTCAAGTTTATACCATATTGTCGTTATACACATGTCAAGTTAATACCATATTGTCGCTATACACAGGTTATACACCAAATTGTCGTTATACACAGGTCAAGTTAATACCATATTGCCGTTATACACAGGTCAAGTTATTACAGCATATTGTTATTCACAGGTCATGTAGATATATTGTGGGAAGGATTTCTCAGCTGAATACTCTGACCGTGAGCTTTACATGTTTGAAGATAGTCTAGAAGTTAAATAAAAAACATTGATAAAAAATATGATTGTCTACTAGCAAATCTTCAAATTCATACAAAATAAAATGCTCGTTCCCTCATTCGACAAAGAAACAAGTCACGCGACTCTGTTGTTTACATTTGCAGGGGGTGGGGGCTTTTTGAAGAGCGTTGGTCTGTTGGAAATAATACATGCACGCACATGGTCTATCGTCAAATAGGACATGGTTATTGACCAATGAGTAGTGACGTTAACATTACATCGAAGACGTGGTAGAATAGGACGGAACACACCAAAACAAACCAAACGGTAACTCCTATACGTGAAGTATTTGAGCAAATTTGGGGGTTGATGAATCTATCAACAATGTAGTATTAGCAATTATATTTACTTTGGTAACTGAATCGTTTTTTCCACATGCCATCAAATAAATTATGGTATAATCTTAATTCTAGCGAGCTGTGAAAACCGCCACAACAGTGATAGCCAGTGTGAAGAGTGGGCCCGTAAAGGAGAGTGTCAGATTAATCCAGCCTGGATGCCAGACAACTGTCAGAAAGCTTGTCGTACATGTCCCATCACAGGATCGACCACACGTAGACCACGAGTGACCACACGTAGGCCACAAGTGACCACGACACGCTCACGAGTGTCAACACGGCGACCAGTAACAACCACCCGACGGCCAATAAGAACAACTACTCCCTATACAACACCTACTACAACCGCTATACCCAGAGGTTAGATAGTCAACGTTATTGTAAAGGACGATTTTGAAGTTGCAATTAAGGCAATTTGTTTGAAATCCGATTACGCCCTTCGCGATTTACGCTCCTCGTGATTTACGCTCCTTGCGATTACGTTCCTCATAAGAACGCTTCTCGTAATTACGCTCCCGACGATAAACGCTCCACATGATTACGCTACTCACGGATTACACTCCTTGCGACTTATGCTTCTCGCAATTTCACACATTACATAGCTCGTTGAATAGAGGTTATTGAACTTAATACTTCAAGGAAAATATTGTATATAATTAAATGGAAAACAAATAATTGAAACACATTTTTCCTTGAACAGCTGACTGCTTAAACCGCTGGCCAGACTCCAGTTGCGATGCCTGGGCAAAGGGTGGTCACTGTCAAATCAACCCCACATTCATGGAGGTCAACTGCATGCTGTCTTGTGACGAATGTCCACAGAAAAAGGAGACCACTTCGAATACAGGAGACACAGACACTACTGGAGTTATGACAACCACTGGCAGTAAGTCCCCTCATTTCTGTTTCGCATTTTTTTATACAAAGATCCCAGTACCACAGTAAAACAATAAGCATTAGAATTTGTTTGGCATGACTATAGCTTTTTTGATCATTTATTTCTGAAAATAAAACAATATACTGCGGAAGTTTTATGAAAAATGTAAATAGAGATGGGAATGTTCTGAGTGTAAAATTGCAACCAGGCCCGACCAGGATTCAAAACGTACATAAAGAACGTGAAAATGTTACTCTCGAGGAGGACATTTTCATTTATTAGTTATAAAGTTACTATCGAGAAAGGTATTTTAGAGTGGATATATTACTATTGCGGAGGACACAGAAAAAGAAATAACGTTACTATTGAGTAAGACACAGAAATAGTGATGACGTTACTATTTAGTTAGATATTTAAAAGTGGTAATATTACCATTGCGGAAGACACAGAAAAATGAAATAATGTTACTCTTTAGGAAGGCAGAGAAATAGTGATAACGTTACTATTGAGATGGACACAGAAATAGTGATAACGTTACTATTGAGTAAGACACAGAAATAGTGATAACGTTACCATTGAGGTGAACACAGAAATAGTGATAACGTTACCAATGAGGTGGACACAGAAATAGTGATAACGTTACTATTGAGTAAGACACAGAAATAGTGATAACGTTACCATTGAGGTGGACACAGAAATAGCGATAACGTTACTTTTGAGTAAGACACCGAACTAGTGATAAAGTTACTTTTGAGGACGACACAGAAATAGTGATAACGTTACTATTGGGGATGACACAGAAATAGCGATAACGTTACTATTCAGTAAGACACAGAAATAGTGATTATATTTCTATTGAGAACGACACAGAAATAGTGATAACGTTTCTATTGAGGACGACACAGAAATAGCGATAACGTTTCTCTTGAGGACGACACAGAAATAGCGATAACATTTCTATTGAAGACGCCACAGAAATAGTGATAACGTTACTATTTAGTAAGACACAGAAATAGTGATAACGTTACCATTGAGGTGGACACAGAAATAGCGATAACGTTACTTTTGAGTAAGACACCGAACTAGTGATAAAGTTACTTTTGAGGACGACACAGAAATAGTGATAACGTTACTATTGGGGATGACACAGAAATAGCGATAACGTTACTATTGAGGACGACACAGAAATAGTGGTAACGTTTCTATTGAGGACGACACAGAAATAGTGGTAACGTTTCTATTGAGGACGACACAGAAAAGCGATAACGTTTCTATTGAGGACGACATAGAAATAGTGATAACATTTCTATTCAGGACGACACAGAAATAGCGATAACGTTTCTCTTGAGGACGACACAGAAATAGCGATAACGTTTCTCTTGAGGACGACACAGAAATAGCGATAACGTTACTATTCAGTAAGACACAGATATAGTGATTATATTTCTATTGAGAACGACACAGAAATAGTGATAACGTTTCTATTAAGGACGACACAGAAATAGTGATAACATTTCTATTCAGGACGACACAGAAATAGCGATAACGTTACTATTCAGTAAGACACAGAAATAGTGATTATATTTCTATTGAGAACGACACAGAAATAGGGATAACGTTTCTATTGAGGACGACACAAAAATAGCGATAACATTTCTATTGAGGACAACACAGAAATAGTGATAACGTTTCTATTGAGGACGACACAGAAATAGCGATAACATTTCTATTGAGGACGACACGGAAATAGCGATAACGTTTCTATTGAGGACGACACAGAAATAGTGATAACGTTACTATTGAGTGAGACACAGAAATAGTGATAACGTTACTATTGAGTAAGACACAGAACCAGTGATAACGTTACTATTGAGGACGACACGGATAATAGTGAAATGGTACCATTGTTTGTTATCCTTTTCTCGTATAGAACGCTATCATGCACTTAACAAATTGTGCGTGCAATCGTTACGTAAATAGAATGCTAATGACACGATTGTTCTCGGTTTCAGATTCAGAGTGTAAAAATAGCCCGGACTGGGATAAGTACTGTGGTGACTGGGCCAATCATGACCACTGTTCTCTCAATCCCGGCTGGATGAAGGTCTTTTGTATGAAGTCCTGTAGGTCGTGCTCTTCATGTAAGTTTAATAATCAACTCTGGTTTTATTGTTTTGTTTGGATAGAATGGCAACTGACAAAATACAAAAGTAATACAGTATAATTATGGAAGATGGTATTATGGTCTCTATGTGAAGGGGAAAGGTAGGGAGTCAGGAACAATTGCCGCTTCGTATAATTCACACGTTAAGTTACAGCAGACCAGACTGCTATTTTGTAATATCTATAGTTAAGATTAGGTTGTGGATATGTAGTTTAATATAGTTTAGACGAGGTTTAATATATTTTAGATTGGATAGAAGCTACGAAGTTTAATATAGTTTAGACGAGGAAGTATATAATATAGTTAAGTATAGTTAAGGCGAGGTAGTGTCTGTGTAGTTTAATATAGTTTGGACGTGGTAGTATCCATGTAGTTTAATATAGTTTAAACGAGGTAGTGTCTGTGTAGTTTAATATAGTTTAGATGAAGTAGTGTCTGTGTAGTTTAATATAGCTTAGATGAGGTAGTGTCTGTGTAGTGTAATATAGTTTAGACGAGGTAGTGTCTATGTAGTTTAATATAGTTAAGATGAGGTAGTGTCTGTGTAGTTTAATATAGTTTAGTTGAGTTAGTGTCTGTGTAGTGTAATATAGTTTAGACGAGGAAGTATATAATATAGTTAAGTATAGTTAAGGCGAGGTAGTGTCTGTGTGGTTTAAAATAGTTTAGGTGAGGATGTGTCTGGGTAGTTTAATAGTTTAGCCACTTTAGTGTCTATGTAGTTTAAAATAGTTTAGATGAGGGTGTGTCTGTGTAGTTTAATATAGTTTAGATGAGTTAGTGTCTGTGTAGTTTAATATAGTTAAGACGAGGTAGTGTCTGTGTATGTAAATGTAGTTTAGATGAGGTAGTGTCTATGTAGTTTAATATAGTTTAGATGAGGTAGTGTCTGTATAGTTTAATATAGTTTAGATGAGGANAATAGTTTAGATGAGGATGTGTCTGTGTAGTTTAATAGTTTAGACAATTTAGTGTCTATGTAGTTTAATATAGTTTAGATGAGGTAGTGTCTGTGTAGTTTAATATAGTTTAGATGAGGTAGTGTCTATGTAGTTTAATATAGTTTAGATGAGGTAGCGTCTGTGTAGTTTAATATAGTTTAGACGAGGTATTGTCTGTGTAGTTTAATATAGTTTAGATGAGGTCGTGTCTGTGTAGTTAAATGTAGTTTAGATGAGGTAATGTCTGTGTAGTTTTATAGTTTAGACGAGGTAGTGGCTGTGTAGTTTAATATAGTTTGGATAAGGTCGTGTCTATGTAGTTTAATATAGTTTAGATGAGGTAGTGTCTATGTAGTTTAATATATACTTTAGATGAGGTAATGTCTGTGTAGTTTAATATAGTTTAGAGGAGGTAGTGTCTATGTAGTTTAATATAGTTTAGATGAGGTAGTGTCTATGTAGTTTAATATAGTTTACATGAGGTAGCGTCTGTGTAGTTTAATATAGTTTAGACGAGGTATTGTCTGTGTAGTTTAATATAGTTTAGATGAGGTCGTGTCTGTGTAGTTAAATGTAGTTTAGATGAGGTAATGTCTGTGTAGTTTTATAGTTTAGACGAGGTAGTGGCTGTGTAGTTTAATATAGTTTGGATAAGGTCGTGTCTATGTAGTTTAATATAGTTTAGATGAGGTAGTGTCTATGTAGTTTAATACAGTTTAGATGAGGTAGTGTCTGTATAGTTTAATATAGTTTAGATGAGGTAGTGTCTGTATAGTTTAATATAGTTTAGATGAGGTAGTGTCTATGTAGTTTAATATAGTTTAGATGAGGTAGTGTCTGTGTGGTTCAATATAGTTTAGATGAGGTAGTGTCTGTGTAGTTAAATGTAGTTTAGATGAGGCAGTGGCTGTGTAGTTTAATATAGTTTAGATAAGGCAGTGTCTATGTAGTTTAATATAGTTTAGATGAGGTAATGTCTGTGTAGTTTAATATAGTTTAGATGAGGTAGTGTCTATGTAGTTTATTATAGTTTAGATGAGGTAATGTCTGTGTAGTTCAATATTGTTAAGATGAGGTAGTTTCTTAATGCGTTATATAGTTTATACGATATTGTGTCTATGTAGGTTAATATAGTTTAGATTCAGTAGAATGTATGAAGTTTGAGTTAAGAAGAGGTAGTGTATGTACGCAATTGTAAAAGTTTAGATAATGTAGTGTCTATCGGTAGCTTATAAAGTTTAGATGAGATAGTGTTTTAAAGTGGGGAGCAATGAAAAGTCTGTTTTGGGGTATTTACTTCCTCTATAAACGTTTAAACTGTTTGAATATTTCATCCTTCGGAACGTTGAGCCAGTAGCTTGCTGACAAAAATTAACATTTTTTATTTCATATATTTCATTGAAATGGTGTGATATTTTCAAATAGAAAAAATAATAATTTCATTCTATTCCTTTGTAGCTTTACGTCAACTAGCCAAACGACAGGCTATGGCTGAGGGAGTCATTAACGAGGACGGGTCCATTAAAAACGGGACGAATCCATTTGGAGAGATGCCTCTGACCCCGCTGAACTCTGCGGCCACTGAGAGGTCAATCTTTGGCCTTCTCCTCACAATGGCAATCTGTGCTCTCATGGGTCATTAGTTCATCAGCACCAACTGTGATAAACTTCAATAGTAATGTTATCATGATGTCTGAACGGTGGTATTTGGTTTTTCTTTTGTGAGAATTGTACGTGTCGTGTGTCTGCTGCTATCTCCTCAACAGTATCTCTTTAATTACAATTAATGTGTGTGACAAGTTCTGTCATGAATATTCAACATGATGCAATATAAGTCAAGGTATGCTGGAATCCTAATTTGAAATAAATATATATATATATATATATATAACATTGAAGTTGGGATGCCGATTTCATTATCAAAACTGGTCTTCCAGCATATCATAATTAAAATAGTCTAACAAATATAAATAAACCAAGACCAGGTGGTCGGGCCTGTACCTATTAAGCACACGCAATTGTTGACTAAAGTGTTGGATAGGACTGTGATAGCATTGTGTCCGATGTCTGTTGTAGTCTTTAGCAGTCGACCCTGGCTGTAATAGACCCGATATAAGTTGTATACTATTGTTCGCACACGTTTACATTGGGAAAGCTTTATACAGATTTTATTGATGTATTTCTGTGATAAAACGAATCTTAGCGTGCAGTCGCTTTAGAAATGGTTGGGTAGATATTTGATCAAGGGAACCACGCTTCCGGACAATCATCCTATATTTAAGTATTAGGAACAGATCTGGAAGAGTAAGACTTTAATTTTTAGAAGTTTCCGGAACCTAAGTTTTATCGCTCCTACGTTTGATGTGGATCAAACATAGTCTCATTAAACAACCTATGCAAAGATAACTTTGGTTGCAAAAAATATGTGTTTTATATATTGTTACTTTAAAAAAAAACGGACGGATTTACATAAGTACTATGTACTTGTTTCTGGATCCTTTTCTGTATTTATAACCATGTACTATTGTAATTAAACATCAATAAAATAAAGTTTAAACTAAAAAAACCCCACAGTAAGTCGGTCATTATCGACACGGGACTGTGTAGATAAAAAAGCTTTCAGACAATGTATTTTTATTTTTGTATTTAGCATTGTATAAAAGAATGATGAAGATCTTTATGTATATTTTTATAATGGTGTTTTATGATCGGTTCATGTCCTTTTTGAGTGTTAAATAGATGTTTAACACTAAGACTATGTCATATCAGCGACAGCGGTGTTGGCTTCATCTTTGTCAAGTACTATATCGTTCATGACACCATATATTCATTCAAATCAGAAATAATCCAACCGAACGAGGGACATTTAAAAAGAGATTAAGATAGTGGTTGTCCCAAATCCCAATTCTTGGACATGTTATTGAACAGAGCGAGGTGTCATTATACATCCTATCCGCGGAATAACCACCGTATTTACTAAATTTCACTTACATCATTTATTTACAATCCGTCTATGTTTTAGAAATGATTCATTTTCATATATTTTGTTGTAATTCGTTTTTTTATAATCAATTATTATTTTTTATCTTGTTCCCTTGTTTGTAAAGTTCAACACGAAATTGTGTCGGATTATCAATGTTTGTTGTAAAACAGGATATCATAGAGAATTAACAGATGAGCTATTCTCCAACTTTTCTAATCACGTTTTTCGTCTGGAGGAATAATAATGTTTAATCTGCTCCCACACACAATGCTGTGTTTATCAAACGTCATCACTTTAGTTTAACCATCTATTACAACAGATTGGGTCATAAACTGGGTCACATATTTCACGAGCCATTGATGGTGCCTTCCATTGGGATCACCGTTTGAACTTCGAGGATTTTGACGATGGGAAATTCAAAGTGTGAGAGATAAATAACCATTCACTCCTGTGAAATGTGCAGATTGAAATATCAACCATTGAGATAAAAATTTCAGGTTTTTATTTCTCTGCCAAATAATTCTGAATATTAATTATAATATCCGTTTTTGCGAAATGCCACTCTATAAATGTTTTTTTCCTCATAAATCCTTGATTGAATGATCTCTAAAGATGTAATAAATATATACAAAAGTTTATATTTAAATCAATTTAACATATAAATTGCAAATGTGTTGATCTCAAAAAACTTAATTAGTTCTTCTTTGAAAAGAAAACAATTTCATGTAAAGTAAGATTTATTGAAAAAAAATGGAGTTTTCTGACGTTAAAGTTGAACACTAATAAAAGTTTAAAAAATGTGTTTCCATAATATTATAAGATTTAATTTTATATTTTTAATTGTTAATTCAAATATTTGCTTGCAAATAAAATATGATAATTTATTATCTTTTTACTGGTGAAATACAGAAGTCAGTAGTATAAAAACGATATTGTCATTGAATTAAAGATGTAAAAATACTGACGTTTGATTGTAACGTCTAATCATTTATAACTGGTCACCAACAATAACGGAACGTTTCAGAGAATGAAATTAAAAATACAGAAAAATCATTTGTTTTTCTGTTGAATGTCATAACTATTTCATTTGTATATCATTTTACATGTATATATATTTTCACTAATGAATCACACTCAACAATTTATCTGACAGTTTTGTCATGTTTGTGAAACATGATTTTCAACTGGAGACCATTGAATATCCTCTATGTATTGCCAAACTTATTTTTGATATTATTTAATATGGACTGAAATGTTTGTGGTATATAGTATATTCAAATGAAAAAGCATGCATATCTTATATGTCTACTGTCAATTACTTGTTATACAACGGATTGTGAAATTAAGCATCGTCCAGTAAAAAATAAACTAAAATCTCACAATAGGTAAAGAAAGGCCTGAGTTACCATATTAAGTGTGTGTGTGAGGGGAGTAATTCACAGTTATCAAATTAACGAATATTTGTATATTTTTGTAAATAAAATATTTATACAAAATTTATTTTTTTCCATTTTTTTATTGTCAACTGATTGCAGTAATTCATATTAATATCACAGACAGTCATAGTACAAAGTGAACAAATATATATTTGAGATATGATTTTTAATCATACCAATGAACCTAACTAAACAAACATTAACAGGATAACATTAAGGTACGATTGTGATGTCTGTGGTGACTTGTTTCTCAATATCATTCTACAAGATTCTTTAACAACTTTAGTATTCACAACAACAACAACAACAACAAAAACACAAATACAGGTAGACAGACAGGTAAATGTACAGGTAGACAGACAGGTAAACAAACAGGAAGACAGACAGGTAAACGTACAGGTAGACAGACAGGTAAACGTCATGTAGACAGACAGGTAAATGTACAGGTAGACCGACAGGTAAACAAACAGGTAGACAGACAGGTAAACATACTGATAGACAGACAGGTAAACATACTGATAGACAGACAGGTAAACAAACAGGTAGACAGACAGGTAAACAAACAGGTAGACAGACAGGTAAACATACTGATAGACAGACAGGTAAACGTACAGGTAGACAGACAGGTAAACAAACAGGTAGACAGACAGGTAAACGTACAGGTAGACAGACCGGTAACAAAGCCTTTTATATAGGTAATAGATAGACTTACAACATGGTACAATATAAAATATTTCACTTGAAACAAAATTGTACCAACTGAATTGTCTTTTTTTGGCAAAAAAAATGATTGAAAATAGCATTGATAGGAAAAGATATACACAGTAATAAAGTGACATATACATCAATTAGAATGTATGGCATGACAATCTGCTTGTCCCTTTCCACAATATAGAATATTTAAATAAAAATAAAATAAAAAAGATGAATCATACAATATTACATATTGTAGCTCTTAACATGTCAGTTCAGGTAAATATCTCTTTACTACATAAATCAGATGTTTATCTAACATTTGGAAATCAAACCAACAATATTGTTCAGTATTGAGATTAAATGTCTGTTAAACACAATATCAAGATAACTAAAATGTTGTATTCTGGCCATTTTAACTTTCATCCCCCCCCCCAAAATTGGTTGAATTTTGCAAAAAAAAAAAAAAATCTTTTTTCAATTTCATTCTTTCTGCATTGACTCAGTGCAAATTGATTGTCACAATTTATCCTTTTGGTGTATACTTAACTTCTGAAATAGGTGAAATGATGACAAAACATACATTTTGTTTACTGAAAACCACAAAAACCTTCCAACTGTAACACACTGTATATGTGTTACACCGGAAATTTGGGAGTATGTCTATTCCAAAATTCAACTATATATTAAGAACTGTTTTTGACATTATATTACATGAGTTTTGACCACAGAGTATCATATGACTGAGAACTCGCTACCTTGACAATCATTTTATTTTGTTCACATTATACCTGGTGAGTGAATATGACTGTTAGCCTAAACCCCTACCCCTTTTTTGTAACTTATGATATACAGAGAACATGAAAATCGTATTCAGCAACATGTACAGTGACCTTGAATTTTGACATCCTGACAGTAAACGGCAAGTTCTACAATCTTAGTGTCCTTATAGGCAAATAATGTATGGAATCGCATTGCTGCATTATAGGTTTCAGACAGAGATGGTCACACAGATCATATAATCCTAATCAGATGGAGCGAGGATTGACAAACCAGACAGAAAAACCTAGACATAAGTATAGCATCCTCCGACAGAAATAAGCACTATTAAGATATTTGTGCAGTCTCTGCTGATATTGTCGAAAACACATACGAAACATCTGGTAGTGGAGGAATTTCGGACAGATATTTTACATCTGTTAATAGTATTTCATTTTGTTACATACAAAATAATTGTCATCGGCCAATAATGGCAACTATGTGACAGGACAACAGAATTCATTAACAGCATATCCCCAGTACATGAGTACACTGTATACCATTTACTTAGTGAAAACATTGAATATCATCTAAATATTGCAACAACTTTTATTCTCCATTTAATTATGGTCCTTATCATTTTTAGTCATATAACATGTAATTTTAGATAAGTTGTATCAATACCAAATAACATTTTTTATGTGAACATTCTGATATTCAGTAGATTAGAAAAATTGATGACCACCTCTTAGTAAAGAGTTATTCCCCTTCCTCCTCCTCCTCCTCTTCCTCTTCCTCTTCTTCCTCTTCCTCCTCATCAGTCAGTCGCTCCCTAGCACCATACAGAATCTCAGAAAGTGTTTCTTTGCCACTTTTGAAGTCTCTAAGACAGTGTGGTGAGCAAGCGCGGAAGATGAAGGGGAGGTTGATAATGCCGTGAAGCTTGCTGACTGGTCGTATGATCCTGAGGCCTGGGCCGTACAGGGGTCCATGACAGCAATCACACGTAGATCGGCTACAAAACACAAATAGATATCGTACTATAGGCAAGTTGTTGAACCCTTGTCATAAATTTATAAATTGACTTTGAAACATAAATAAATCTCTTGCTAAAGGTATCTTTTTGAAACACCATCATAGATTTGCAGACTGGCCACAGAACACAAAAATTATACTTAAGATATCTTTTTGAACCTTTGTTATAGGTGAGAGGATGTGGATGAATAACAGAAGTAGAAAATATATGTAAGACACAAATAGAAATGGTCCCTGATCCCATGCAAAGTAGTGTCATGTTTTGAAGTATTTCTTCAAGTTAGTAATAGTTTGTTGCCTAGGAAACCTGAAACACAAACTCAATCGAGGTATTTTCATACTTAATCTTTTTATATTTCAATTTCTACTCAAATTGGACTCGATGCAACTACCAAATGTTACCAGTTTCATTTGCCCATAAAATTGACCAGATTAACATTCCCTGTGTGTATGAATACACGCCAGAAAATTATATATTTAAACTATGAATTCATCAACAAAAATTTGATATGATATTTAATGGACTTCACAAGTTTCAATCATAAAAAAATACATGTTGATTGAAATATAAGGATTGAACTTTACTTTGGTCGTTTTTCATGGGGTGATTAATTGAATTTGTCTTTAAACAAATTCAACATAAACTGCTTCATAATTCAATAAATTTGTTTTAAGACCAACTCAATTCAAAACTCCATGAAATCGACCAAAGTAAAGCCTTAACCCTTTCACCACTGTAGACCATAATGGACTCATCCCAATAAATGCATGGTAGAATCTACTAAAGTTACCTAGGGGTGAAAGGGTTAAATGAAGTTTTATGAAATGATGTTGCTTGAGTGTTAACAATGCATCAGGACTAGAGGTAACAGGACGGGTTGTGACAGACATGGTAAATATACATGTACACTGTACATCCCCCGCCTCTCAATGATAAAGAGGAAGCATGATTGTCACAAAGAACCTTCATATATAGGCAAGAAAGTGGGATATGACAAATTAGAAATTTAAATGACAGACATATTAAAGCGGAAGGCATAGCTTGACAAAGTTCATGTTATTAATATGGAATGAATTCATCAATTTTAATTTCTGTATGCTACAGCCAAATGCCACGAATAAGGATATATAGCTCTGGTTACCTGGACAGAACGTTGATGACCGACGGTGCCAGGTTCTCCGCCGTCCGGTACATCTCAGACTTGTACATTGTTAGAGCTGCCATATCAATTAACCTCTGTGAAGAAATAAACACAAATCTTCAAAACAGTATTCTTAATAAACCTACAGTTCGTCACTCATTCTGTGCAGAGCGACAGTGATTCAAGCCGGTTATATATTGTAATATTAAGAAGAATATATTCAATACCTGAGGTTGGTTGCGTGTATTCTCCTTCCAGAACAGTGGATGCATGAAGTTGTTTTTGACATTAAGATAGTTGAGTTCCAGCAGTAAAGCACCACATGGCATAGCTGGTAGCTGGTTCCCTTCCATGTTTAGTTCTCTCAGGGACCTGTACAAATGTTCATTAAAAAGTGAAACTGCACCCGTAATTTTCAGTTGACAGTAGGCCTAAACTGATATGTAGGAAACATTGTAGATAAAACCAACTGAGCAAGAATAGGATAGGACGAAGGTGAACATGTTTGAAACATGAACACTGAATGCAGTCATACCTGTGTTAAGAGACCACCCATGGAACGCCAAAATGTGGTCTCTTAATACAGGTTCAATTCATAAAGAAATCTCTACGATCGGGAGCATTCAACATGATTTCTAAATAGACATGGTATATGAGCAGGTCTGACTGTCCTTTTTTCAGTGAAGCACTGTATACATCTTCACTAGTCAAGGGTTACAATCCAGTCTACCTGCTCTTTAAAGAGAGCATGAGTGAGCGTAACCCCTGGAGTATCAAAGATGTTATGTATACAGGAAATATTCACCCTTTACCAGTAAAATCCATATTCACCAAGTGTCAGTTTCACCATTTACAGTGAAATGCAGTGTTTGAGTAGCCTTATATTCACTTTCTCGGTGAATATGCCCTTTTAACGGAAGGTAAAAATTGGTGAAAATCAAACTGTGCAAACAGTGAATATTTCAAAGCATTCAGTGACACAATTAAATCTTATGCTCACATGAACTGACTAAATAGGGTTAAGCATGTATACATTGTACATGAATGTATCAATGTACAAATGAGCAGAACCTTATAAAATATATGATATAGACTTCATATATTTACAACAATTATGAAACAAGTTTTTACAACTTAATATACAAACACTTTTGTTGGCCCAGATGCTAGCTCGCAGGGGGTCTTACTATGGGTGGAAACCAGAGTATCCGGAGAAAACCCACATGGTCAGGCAGGTGACCCCATTACTTTTAACGTCCGATCGGGGGATCGAACCCCTGCCACCTTGGTAAAGGGCAAGTGCGCTATCCACTGCGCCACCCAACCAGAACCTTACCAGTGCTTTGCAAATTTATTGCAAAGGGACGTTTTAAATAAAAAAAAATAAAAAAAAAAAAATAAAAAAAAATAAAAAAAAAATAACTAACGTACCTGAACTGGCTGATTTCATTTGGCACAAAAATGATCTTGTTGTAGGAGATATCCAAATGTCGCAGCTTTTGCAATGAAAACAAGCTGAAACCAAAAGAATGCACATCTAAGCTAAAAGGTAAATGTACATGATACAAAGTATATGTATGGAATTTGTTTTCAATAAACAGTTACTTTGATTATAAATTAGTCCTGCAGTAAATTCAATGAGATGTTTTTTTTCTGCTAACATACCCTAGAGGTAGAGTCTGTAGAAGACAGAAGGACACCGCCAACATACCCTAGAGGTAGAGTCTGTAGAAGACATAAGGACACCACCAATGTTTTGAGGTTCCTGAGGAGCTGGATATCAGGTGGCAGTTCTCTCAGAGGATTGTTCCTCAACTTCAGAGTCACCAACTGTTTCACGTCAAGTATGGGGCGAGGAAACAGCTGAAGACACCAATAATAACATGCAAGTCAATTATGTTCATAATAATAATAATAATAATAGACTTTATTTAAATTTAATAGAACAATGAGTCTTCTAAGCTAAAAGGTAAATGTACATGATACAAAGTATATGTATGGAATTTGTTTTCAATAAACAGTTACTTTGATTATAAATTAGTCCTGCAGTAAATTCAATGAGATGTTTTTTTTCTGCTAACATACCCTAGAGGTAGAGTCTGTAGAATACAGAAGGACACCACCAACATACCCTAGAGGTGGAGTCTGTAGAAGACAGAAGGATACCACTAACATACCCTAGAGGAAGAGTCTGTAGAAGACAGAAGGACACAACCAACATACGCTAGAGGTAGTCTGTAGAAGACAGATCGAAGGACACCACCAACATACCCTAGAGGGAGAGTCTGTAGAAGACAGAAGGACACAACCAACATACACTAGAGGTAGAGTCTGTAGAAGACAGAAGGAAACCACCAACATACCCTAGAGGTAGAGTCTGTCGAAGACAGAAGGACACAACCAAGATACCCTAGAGGTAGTCTGTAGAAGACAGATCGAAGGACACCACCAACATACCCTAGAGGTAGTGTCTGTAGAAGACAGATCGAAGGACACCACCAACATACCCTAGAGGAAGAGTCTGTAGAAGACAGAAGGACACAACCAACATACACTAGAGGTAGAGTCTGTAGAAGACAGAAGGATACAACCAACATACCCTAGAGGTAGAGTCTGTAGAAGACATAAGGACACCACCAATGTTTTGAGGTTCCTGAGGAGCTGGATATCAGGTGGCAGTTCTCTCAGAGGATTGTTCCTCAACTTCAGAGTCAACAACTGTTTCACGTCAAGTATGGGGCGAGGAAACAGCTGAAGACACCAATAATAACATGCAAGTCAATTATGTTCATAATAATAATAATAGACTTTATTTAAATTTAATAGAACAATGAGTCTTGAGGACTCATCTCACATGTCGTCGACATAAAATATACAATATTTACAACAAAGTAAATTCAATGAGATGTTTTTTTTCTGCTAACATACCCTAGAGGTAGAGTCTGTAGAATACAGAAGGACACCACCAACATACCCTAGAGGGAGAGTCTGTAGAAGACAGAAGGACACCACCAACATACCCAAGAGGTAGAGTCTGTAGAAGACAGAAGGAAACCACCAACATACCCTAGAGGTAGAGTCTGTCGAAGACAGAAGGACACCACCAACATACCCTAGAGGTAGAGGCTGTAGAAGACAGAAGGACACCACCAACATACCCTGGAGGTAAAGTCTGTAGAAGACAGAAGGTCACCACCAACATACCCTAGAGGTAGAGTCTGTCGAAGACAGAAGGACACAACCAAGATACCCTAGAGGTAGTCTGTAGAAGACAGATCGAAGGACACCACCAACATACCCGAGAGGTAGAGTCTGTAGAAGACAGAAGGCCACAACCAACATACCCTAGAGGTAGAGTCTGGCGAAGCCAGAAGGACACCCCCAACATACCCTAGAATTCGAGTCTGTAGAAGACAGAAGGATACCACTAACATACCCTAGAGGTCGAGTCTGTAGAAGACAGAAGGGCACCACCAACATACCCTAGAGGTAGAGGCTGTAGAAGACAGAAGGACACCACCAACATACCCTAGAGGGAGAGTCTGTAGAAGACAGAAGGACACCACCAATGTTTTGAGGTTCCTGAGGCGCTGGATATCAGGTGGCAGTTCTCTCAGAGGATTGTTCCTCAACTTCAGAGTCACCAACTGTTTCACGTCAAGTATGGGGCGAGGAAACAGCTGAAGACACCAATAATAACATGCAAGTCAATTATGTTCATAATAATAATAATAGACTTTATTTAAATTTAATAGAACAATGAGTCTTGAGGACTCATCTCACATGTCGTCGACATAAAATATACAATATTTACAACAATACTTGAGAAGTGTGAGATTTTTAACTCAACATTAATTTTCCTAGGAACTGTTTATTGCTAAATCAAATACATCTTATAAATATTTATGACGACAATACGTTCATGTATGTGAAGTACAATTGTTAAAATAATTGTTCACAAAAATGAAGCGCTCTACTGTAATTATGCGAAAGTCCCAAATTATAACTTCTTGAGGAATGATTTAAGATTCTAACATGTCTGATGATAATACATATTGTACTACTGTACTGGTAATAATAATTTAGTGATCAAGTTTCAGGCAACCTGAGGAAAACACTTACTGTGAAGTCGTTGAACGACAGGTTGATGTAGGTCACGGTCCGTATGAGAGGGTTGATGTCCGGCAGCTCTGATATAAAGTGTGCCTGGTAATCAATAAAGGTCAACTTGATAATAACCAATACCAATGACCACACATGATAGTACATCATCACGACCACCTCATTGTACAAAACTTCCTACCAAATGATAAGGTCATTCAAGTTTTCCAAACCATTTTTCTGGTGCATTTCCATGCAGATGTTTTTCAAAAATGAGTTTATCACATCACACATCTCTAAAGGAATGAAGACTTCATTATGGTTTGTGTTTCTTCACTGCACATTGTCTGCTTGTAATTGACAAATACAATGTATAACTCAGTACTTGTATTGTTTTACACCTCAAATATAATTACTTCATTCAAATATGACACACAACTTTATCTAATTGCCGAGCAATAATAACCCTACAGAGGGAGAGCCCTCAATACGCTAATATGTGATGTACTATGGTGAAACCTGCCTAACCCGACACCCAATGGGATCACACAAAGTCCCTTGATTGGACTTGGTGTTGGAATACACAGGTTTTTGTTTGGTAGTTTTAATCAGAAACAGCTGTATGTGTAACATGTCAGGTTTTACAGTATAGACTGTCATACTGTCCTTTGGTAAATTGCTACCCCTCCAGTGGCAGGTCCCCTAGATAGGTCTCTGGATCCGCCACTGCCTTGTAATTTTTTCTGGATTTGGGTAATACAAATTATCTCCCTTGTCAAAAAAATGGAATTGTTATCATTAATACTATCCTATTGTATTGTTATATCATACTATATATATATATATTTCATTACTTATAAGTTTTCGTATGTTTTTATACATCAAGATGCAGTGATATTTTTCACGTTAGGAACGTTAACATTGACTATATATATTATTTTAATATATCATGATTTGCATACAGAAAGTGATTCAATATTTCTGTGTTGTGTTAGGATTCAGCTGACTACTAAGACTTTTCATGTTGTAAACAATAGTTTACCTTCAAACTTAGAGCCCTTCCGCCATTGATGAGTGAATCTAATATTGCAAGCTCTGAAGGGGAGATTACTCCATTGCCATCTCCTGGTGCAGCTGTTAAAATAAAATAAAAAGTTATCAAAAATTCCGTTTTTATTATACACAAGTTTTTTAACCTACATTTCTGTATAATACTTTCAAACTTTAAATGAATTTATTAATAATTTGCTTAACTGAACAATCAGTTCAGTTTAAAAAATAGAAAATGTCTGTAAGACATGAATGCCGGGCCGTCACCATGTGAAATTAGTTTCAGTGTTTATGTTCTAAATAGTTACAACCACTTTGATCACGGGATGGGATTGGGTGAGGTTATCAAGTCAGGTACTGTATCAACATTAAAATATCAATAAAGTCTGAAACCCATCGAGTAGGGAACTTACTGAAGGGTGACTGACTGCGCCCTGAGCCCTGGAAATACCGAGACCGAGCCGAGTGGAACATGGAGTCCACTGACGGGATCTCTGTATCTCTGACAAATAGAAAACCAGACTAAGGATCTTGGAATATAGAGAAAATATTAATATTCATTTGTTTATTTATTTCAGCAATCCAATAAATAACTTGATATGTATCCAAAAACAATTATCGGAAATTACAAAATATCACCATAGTATGAACTGAAATAAAAGAAGATAATTTTCAGACATCAGGAAAATCATATCTATACATATATATATAACTCTAATGATAGCATTGAATCCTTAATTAATTTTTTCAAGTTGTTGCTTTTGGTTTTTTCCCACATTTTTAAGAAATTGTATGAACTTGCATGGCAGACACCAATATTTACAGTAACTATGAGCAAAGTAATTTTTTTTAGTCCTAGTCAAAATATATAACATGGCCCAGACACCTTCAAATTAAAAATCTTTAATGTTTCATAATAACGAGTTAATCCAGGGGATGAGTTTTAGTTTAACACGTACTGGCGTTGTTGCTGACTCCTACTGGCCACCTCCGTTGTGTCGTCCTCATACAGAATAATCTCTGTGTGCGGCACATCGGTATCATGGTAGCTAGGGCTGTACCGCTTCAGGGGTCGAATCACTGATTTTACTTCGGTATTCATCAGGTCACGCACATGTTGTTTTATCATGGCTGCCATCTCAATAAGCAACTGTTTCTGTGGAATCCTCGGCTCTACAGGGGGGATACTTTGTCCTGTGAGAGAAATGACAAATATTTTAGGTACCAAGTTTAACACTTAATGTTATCCACTATAACATGCTAAAACAGTTGTATATTTTCAAAAGAAAACTATTTCTATGCAGAGAAAAATTTCATCATTTGTGCAAAATATTTAAAAGAAAAGGCCATCCATAGAATATTGTTTGTTTAATTAATAATAATACAATAATTCAAGGTTCTTATATACCGCTTTATCACAACCTAGTTTGTATGTTGTCTCAAAGTGGTTCACAATCCGCCAATATCTTTCTCAACTCCCTGGGGAGCATACAGCCGGTGATGCCATTTTGGCGCTCACAGCTAGCATTCTACAATTCTAGCCCCGAGTCCTACGGTACCACTAGACTACCGTGCCTCCTATAAACTGTTTGCAGTTCACACTTTTGTTCAGTGGATGGGTGGGTATAGGTAGGGAATTTCATTTTATTTTAGAAACTTCGTAAACAATTATTTCAACAAACAAATGCAATTATTGGCCCCCTTTTTTGTATGTTAAGCAGTCATAATAATTTTGAAAATCCTGTCAAAACATTGTTACAATATCCTGTAAAATCCTTACTTACCATTCCAAAATTAAAACTGGAAAACAAATCTAGAAAACATATAAAACTTTACCTTCAGGGGTCAGTGTGCTGGTATGAACTTCGTCTTGAGATAAATCATAGGTTTTTTGATCGGCAAGTAAGTTGGTAATTTTCTTGTAGTTATGCCTGGAGCACACAGCCTGTTTTACAGACCTCATTGGAAGTCTGTGTCTGTCTGAAATCTCCATCATAAATGTTTCCAAAGTAAACGTCGGAGGAGCATAATACCTTATATCGTCAACGTAGTCTACATGAAATATTTCAGGGTGTCTCCGAGGTGGTCTTGCAGGAAAACTTTCAGGTCCCCGGGGTTTAAATGGTTTTATTAAAGACTTTCCATCAACATAGGTTCCAAGACTTGTTTTGACCCTGTACAAAGGATCTAAAATAAACTTCTTGTCATCTCTGCTGACAAAAGTCACATTCGTTTGTTGAGATCCATGTATAACATGTCTGTAGAAATAATGTTTTTTCGTAGGGTTGGATTCAGAAGGAGGAGGTGATATTAAACTTGGAACAACACTTGGTGTTGGAGATTGTCTAATTGTAACTGGGGTTTCACGAGTAGGTATGTCTGTATCATAGTCGTATGTTTCATAAAATGGTTTCTCTTGTGAATTCGAGTCTTTGGTTGGGGAAGGTGCCGACAGTGCAGGAAGGGGCTTAGGGGCTCTTGGTCGTCGCAGAAGTTTGCCATCTTGGACATTTGAATTCTTCTTTCGTTTCGATGAACTTGTTGTACACAGAAGCTGAAATTTAGAGAAAAAACATTGTTTACTCACTAAAATTATTCAATTGAAGGCAAGCTGAAATAACACCAGACCTACACCTACATAACTTATGAATCATCCTGGTTATGGCTTCGGCAAATTCTTCCTTAGGAAAAGTTAAAAAGACTTTTGAAGCCAATTTGTTTAAGCCTTTATCTTATCAGGGACATATTCTTTTTAAACTGGTTTTTAAATCATTGTTTTATATTTATTTACTGCAAGAACCTTAACGAATTATTTCACTTCACAGGGAAAATCCTGGATTTTGAAAACAGTGGGCCATTTCAGCAATTTTTATTCAATATCAAAATTAAGAGGGCCGTTGTATGTAAAATTAAAAAAAATGGAACATGGAAGGGTCAATTTCAGTTTTGAGGGGTCCATAGCCCCATAACCCCCTCCAGGATTATCCTTTCTTCTTAGAAATCATGCATGAGTTTTACACTAACACACCTCCTGGTCAAAAACTAGACAAACAGGTTACAGAGAAACACTGACATAGTACAAGCACAGAAACCAAACAAACACTACAGTAGACATGAAGGGAAATCATTAATAACACAGACAACAACAGGTTACCTCCCAAGACAGTTACAACAAATTACCCTATATAACACTTTGGTGTGCAAGATTACCATCCAGCAGTGTATTGGTGTGGTGAGGTGCAGGTGATTTGGGTGTGGAGTTATGTTTTATTTTTTTAAGAGGGGGCAGCGTTCAAACTTAACAGTAGACCCATAGACAATTATCATGAAAATCACTGTAGGTCTATAGGAATAATCTGTTTTTATATATGCCAAGTTGTCTACGATTTTATTTTCTATGTCTATGATATATCGATATCAATGTTATTCAATGATATAACGATAACAGTGATTACCACAACAGTTAAAGACTAGTTAAAATATAGTCTAGTCTAGTCATATTATAAGGTCAAATCCTTAGGACCTTTTGTTATCTAAGTAATTGAGATCTATACTAGAGGACCCCATTGGAAATAAGCTGCCACCCAGCTTTCACGGGATATCCTAGGTTAAAGCTTAAGTCAAACAGATACATTGTAATTATAGTGCTCCAAAATTTGTGATATTAACTTTGATGTGATAAGCTAAATACTGTGATAAATCTGTGATTATTATGCAATTGAAATCTGTGATCATATGTGATATTTGTACCTGTATCTTGCTTTTACCGAATAAATATTATTATAGTATATATATGTAGAACTAGAATTAAGGGCTTGACTGTGTTGAAGTTGAATCTATCGCCATTTCAGTGTTTATCTGTAAGATTATGACAGTTCTCTATTGCATGTCGTGTTCAAATACTTGTAACGGTATCCGATACTGTCATGCTGCAGCAAAATGTGAAAGTAGGATGTATGCAAGAATGTGACTGATGAGTGATGTGTTTATCCTGCATTCCTGGTTTGAAATGTGGTCAATCCAATTTTGTAATCTTTATTCATGAAACTGATTTAGTAAGCGACGTCTCAAAATGATGTATAGTTACTCTAAATTGCTGTGAATATCACCAACAGTAAATGAAATTGACAAAACTTCAAAAATAAATATACTTACGGACGGTCCACTAGCCGCCATCTTGACGCTGTAACCATACCAACTTCCGTGAGTATGAAGTCTCGAGGGAAGCGAGACTACAACGAGCACCTGTTAACATGTTGGGGCGGTTTACAAAAGCGTCTGCTAGAAAAGCGTCTAGGTATTTTTCAAGCAGTTACCGTGCAAATGGAAAATTTAACGAACCGTTATCCGGGCATGATATGCCAAGAGCTGGAGGTATTGCATCGATGATGCGGCTGCCTATACAAGAGGACGCGAGCGGTAAGATATCTAGGCCTAGATCTTTTTGTGTGTCGCTGATAGTGATAACACTAACAGTGTTTACCATAACAGTACGTACAGCCGAGTTTCCTCTGGCCCTGACACACAGGGTCACGTTACAATCACAAATATGCTATACTGATATGGGTCACAACACACATACAGTGTATGTTTATGTGTGTTTTGACCTATATCAGTATAGCATATGTGTGATTGTAACGTGACCCTGTGGTCTGTGCTATATATAAGAGGCCTGGTCAGCCTTTTTTCTATCGGATATGATTTTGTTACGCGACGCCTGTCAAAAGTTTTTCGCCGTTTAAAACCTCTAACATTGTTGGAGTAGAGTAGCCCTGACACCACAGGTAATAATACAGTTATAACACCCTGGCATTATATAATGGGTTAATTGACAGACGAGGCTAGTACCCGAAGTAGACATCATATATTAATGTGGCACCAGAGTATTGGAGAGGACTGGTATAAGGCTTGCCTATTGTCCAATCCATTTGTTATTGAACAAAAAAAATGTTGAAATGAAATGACACCAGACTAAAGACAATTGTACAGATAAATGTCTGGTGTCACGACTTAAGACCTAAGACATTTGACAGATATGTTTGGTGTCACCCCCAGACTTAAAGGATTTTGGCCACAAATTTTTATAATTTTATATTTTACGGTCATTTTATGCAATACTATGTGTAGTGACCGAGACCCTGTCATTCTCTGTACTCAGATGATAGACAGCTAGGCCAGGTGACGCCCCATCAATGTCAGCCTAAGTGAATTTATAATGCATATTTTGAACACGGTACAAGGTCACGTGATCTGTGAAATCAGAGTGGCACGACTTATTCAATGTCCTGTCCCTTACATCACCGAATTAGATTAGATATTATCTAAGTCCGTGCTTACGTGTACCTATTCTGACACGCCCCCTTTACATATTTATATATTATCTGCAAAACAGTATAAGTAATGACAGCAACCAATATAATCATTATGTTGTATGGGTGAAATCTTCTCAGAAAGAAAAGTTACATATTCAAGCCTGAATCACAGAAATCTAATTCCGTATCTGCATCAACGACATTCAATGTACACTGTAACTTTTAACTGGGATACACAGTTTACGCACCTAAATATCTTACCTGTGAATTAAAAGGCATTTTAATTACCTGTAGTTCTTAAAGGATGATCGTTTATGCCAAAGGGCATAAACAATCATCAATCTGATTAAAATCATATGTTAAATGGCTTCGTTAACTTCGTACTACGCCTGAACATCTAAATGTGCCGCGGTCAGGGTCACGTTCAGGTGACCTTTATATTTATAAATACTCATTAAATTTTGACCAATCAGAGACCCTCTTTCAAAAGGGCGCTCAGAGTTGTAACAAATATGGCGGACATTGATGAGAATGATGCGAAAGTTCTGAAGTTATTTGAGATTGATCGTCTGAAACCCGAACAGAAAAAGATATTCAAAAGCTTTATTAGAGAAGAAAGACTGTATGGCGGTGTTGCCTACGCAATTATTACCCAATGGGTATGTTTTCCTTGGCGTTGAAGAAACTTCAGTTCCCACCGCCATATTTGTTCAAATGAATGACCTTCACTAATATTCAAGGTCACAGGGGTCAATTGTTTTAAAAACCTTTTAATGACTTCTTCTGTATAACTAAAAGGTCTATTAGGGTGATGATATTTGGCCAGAAGGATCTTGGCATTAAGGGCTACCAAATTTGCTGTAATGAATGGCCTTCACTCAAATTCAAGGTCACAGTTGTCAATTGTCTTGAAAACCTTTATATGACTTCTTCTGAATTGCCAAAAGGTCCAGGGTGATGATTTTCGGCCAGTAGCATGTAGGGATAAAGGGCTACAAAGTTTTTTCAAATGAATGCCCTTTGCCCATATTCAAGGTCACAGGGGCTAAATATGTTGAAATCTTTAAATGACTTCTTCTGAATAAGTAAAGTGAACAGGGTGCTTGCTTGTAGATGTAAATGATCTTGACACACTTTCATGGTCATAGCTAGTCCATAGTGCATAAATCTTTAAAAGTCATCTTCTCAATAAACAAAAGGTATAAGGTGGTGATATTTGGCAAGTTGCATTCTGGGATGAAGGGCTATAAAGTTTTTTCAACTTAATGTCCATGTTTGACCTTCAAGGTCACAGGGATTAAATGTGTGTTAATCCTTTAACAGGTTCTTCTGAATTACTGACACTGATTTTTTGCCTGTAGCTTTATTTTAGTCCTCTTCTAAAGTTACAATTGTGAGATTCATATCAGGTGAGCGATGCAGGCCCATTGGGCCTCTTGTTTAAGTATATAACAGATTTCGCTTATCTTTACAAAATGTAAAAAATCGTGGCCAAAACCCTTTAGGACATTTTGGCAGATAGATGTCTGGTGTCACCACCACCAGACTTAAGACATTTTGGCATTTAGATATCTGGTATCACCACCAGACTTAAGATATTTTAGCAGATATCTGGTATCACCACCAGACTTGAGACATTTTGGCAGATAGACATCTGCTGTCACCACCAAACTTTAGACATTTTGACAGATAGATATCTGCTGTCACCACCAGACTTAAGACATTTTGGCATTTAGATATCTGGTATCACCGCCAGACTTAAGATATTTTAGCAGATAGATATCTGGTATCACCACCAGACTTAAGACATTTTGGCAGATAGATGTCTGGTATCACCACCAGACTTAAGACATTTTGACAGATAGATGTCTGGTGTTGCGACTAGACATTAGACATTTGACGAATATGTTTGGTGTCACCAGACATATCTATCAGTCAAAATGTCTTAATGGACTAATCACAGTTACATATCGTGGCTGAGAGGAAAAAATACGACAATATGCCTTATTATTGTATATAAATACTTGACATTTATTGTCAACATGTTTTAAGTCTGTGGTGTCAGGGCTAGAGGAAACTCAGTCACATTTCTATTTGTGGTGTCAGGGCTAGAGGAAACTCAGTCACATTTCTATTTGTGGTGTCATGGCTAGAGGAAACTCAGTCACATTTCTATTTGTGGTGTCATGGCTAGAGGAAACTCAGTCACATTTCTAT